GGGTTTCGTTGGCTAATTTTATGTTTATGTATTTGGTTAGCTACTGCAATGGCAAATCACTTATGTTTGTGTTTGGTTATTATGTATATGCATCTAATGTGGTTTTGCAGTCAGGGCATCAACCTTCAGTGTTAGTGTGGGATTGCGGGACCCTTGCCTTCATATCTGAGCTGAAAGGTCATCTATATGGAGTAGAGTGCATAGCTTTCTCATCTGATGGTTAGTCACTATCAATAGATTGGGGAATCTATCTCATGGTCATGTTTATGTTACCAGCAAAACTTGTATATTCTTCTTCTTTTTTTTAACCATTTTAGTTCGTTTTTGTAGGGGAACATTTGGTGTCTGTTGGGGGATACATTTACCTTTGGGATTGGCGGAGTGGGATTTTGGTTACAAAGCTTAAAGCAAGTTCATCTTGTTCTGCTGTTACGTCTGTCACTTTCTCTTCAGATTCAAAATACATTGTTACTGCCGGAAAGAAGCACCTGAAATTCTGGGCAGTTGGAGCATCTCCAAGGACTCGCATGAACAAAGGAACAATTTCGCTGTCTATTCATGCGAAGCCTATTAATCTTGGTCCTCAGAAAGGAAGTTCATTTGTATCTGTCACGTCCGCCATCTGGACCGAGGGTAGTGTTGTGAACTGTGATCAGGTTGATGAGCTTTTTCCTATATACGCGCTGACTGACGCAGGTTGAATGTTGCTTTATAGTTTATTTAAGAAATTGTTTAGAGTTTCTAAAGCATAGTCAATAAGTGCTATTCCCTTCCTTTTACTTACAGGAGTTCTATGCCTCATAAATTCTGAGTTGTCGTTAAGAAATTCTGTTGATTTAAAGGTATGTTTGACTTCCAATCCTATGTTGTTTGTTTTGGATATAAGTGAATCAGCACACCAAGGAATCTGGGAATGTTTTTGGAGGTCAAACATATTAAAAAGGCTGTCAAGATGGATTCAAGAAGGTCCATGTTGGAGCCATAGTCATTGTTCACAAAATGCTGAAGTAATTATCATTTGCCACTGTTTCAAATTTTGGATGTGATGAGGACTTTAATTGTACTGTAAGGATGATTGGATGCAGCTGAGTTAGTTGATTGTTGCTTGCTGACACAGCTGGAAAGTTTCTTTGACTGAGGCTTCTGAATTACAGAATGTGATTTTGATAAGATGCATAATTTATGCTTGGAGAATCAGACTGATGAAAGCAGTTAGTAACATGTGGTCTTGGCTGTCTAAAACTACATTGGATTGTATATCTCAATTATTGCAATTGAGATCATGTTTGATGCATTCAAAAATTAACTTTCAGGTTGAAAAAGGATTTGCACTATCTGCATCCAGCAAGTTAATTGCTTGTGCATGCAGTAACGGACTAGTACAACTCTTTAAAGTTGAGGATCTCAGATACGTTGGAAGTTTACTGTATACAAAGGCCAAAACATGCCATGGCAAAATTGATCGTTTTTGCCCTAAATCCAGTGAAAAAAATTTACAATCAACGCCTACTCTTCCTGACGCAGTTGCTTGTCAGTTCATCTCAGAAAAGCTTGGTGAGCTTATAACTCAGTTAGTTGTCTCGACTCTTGATATTTCTTGTTGTTTGCAACTTATAATGGTCAATTTTCAATTTTTCTCCTTTTCAGTCGTTGTCTATGGAGATCATAGTCTCCATATATGGGACTTCCATGAAGAGAATGAGGTGATTGTGTTCCATATAAGATTAGTACTATTCCTTAAGTTAGTTTTTGGAGCTTATTAATAGATTAGAACTTGATTAAAAAAACTTTTATTGTCATCCTTCCAGGCTACCAGGTCCTTTGTTCTTAATTCTCATTCTGCTTGTATATGGGATATCAAGAATCTCTGTTGTGAAAACACGCACGATCCATCTCTCATGTGTGCTGCTATGGGATGTTCTGGAGGAGTCTCCTTTGCAACATGTTCAGCTGATGGCACAATAAGGTTATGGGATCTTGTCTTACAACCGAATTTGTTAGGGGATACTGTTGACAGTAATTCTTTGATCAACGAACCAGTGGGGGCTATGAATATAGGTAAAGGCCACATTTGTAAGAGGTCTTAGCATTACTTGGAAACATGTGAAAATGTGCAGATTTTTCAAGTTTTAATTCCCAGCACTTTAACTATTTTTGGAGTTATTATGAACTTTTTATTTATAGTTGGTTAATTTTTTCAAATTGTGTTCTTGTAAGTTGATTCTTATTTGTATTCCCCCTTCCCTCAACTGGTGGATTTTTATTTTTTTGAAGCAGTGAGTGCTGGAAGTTTTGAAATCGCCACTGTAGATACAACTTTTGGCAATCAAGGTTTCCGCTCGATGGCAGTTAGTTCAGATGGAAAATACTTGGCTGTTGGTGATTGTGAGGGAAACCTTCATATCTATGATCTTCACAATTCTGATTATACATGCATTAAGGTAAACTTGCCGACCATCATAATACGTTAAGATATTTGTTTGAAAAAGAATTGAGTGCTGTGACTATAGTAACTATGTTTGCTACTAGTTTCCTAAATTCTGTCCATTTTACAGTAAATTACAATGTTTAATGTGACAGGATTCCCATGATGCGGAGATTCTCTCATTGAGTTTTAGCTTGTCAAGCACCAAGGATGCTGATTCCGGAGGAGACATGGACAATCATTACTTGCTTGCTTCTGGGGGGCGGGATCGAATAATCCATCTCTATGATGTTAAAAGGTTTTGATTGAGTATTTTAGCATCTCTTTTTCTCTTTTTGTAAATTTATTTGAGCTTGTTCGATCTGTATGTTAATTGATCTAATGCCTTTCATGTCAGGAATTTTAATCTCATTGAAAGTATAGATGACCACTCAGCTGCTGTGACTTCTGTCAAACTTGCTTGCAACGGATGTAAGATTCTGAGTTGCAGTGCTGATAGGTATTTTGCTTTATGTACAGTAATGAGAACTGATAAAAGGAAATCTTAATTAGGATGCTCCTTCAAGCACTGTTATTTAGGTTGTACTCTAGATAGTTTAATTTTGTTTCAATGGCATTTGAAATGGCTTTAATTTGTTAAATATCTTTCAACAAACCAAATGATTATGATTTATATTTAATATTTGCATCATGCAATTTTTATTTTTATCAAATGATTACTCACCATGGACGTCCATATGGCTCATTTTAGTTAATGTTGTTGTTTACTCCCCACAGGTCCCTTGTGTTCCGTGATGTCAGTTTAACTGATATCAGATGCAAGATTTCACGTCGCCACCATCAAATGGCATCTCATGGAACTGTCTACGATATGTCTGTAGATCCAGTAATGGAGGTTGTTGTCACTGTTGGCCAGGTAAGTTAGCATCTTCTTAGTTATAAGGGACTCATTAGCACTATTCCAATGGCGGCTTCAAGGGCTGCCTCAAATGATTTTTGTGCAATCAGCCCCCATATGTCCAGCATAGTGTAAATGCTACTCATTAGAAAATAACCGTTAGTTTACTGTCTGTTTGACATAATTTGCTGATGCCTCATCTTTGAAATCCCAATTTTTTTAATTGATTTTCTGCTTATTTTTTTTCATAGGATAAGAAGATAAACACATTTGACATTGTTAGTGGAAAGCTTATTAGATCATTCAAGCATAATAAAGACTTTGGTGACCCAATAAAGGTGAGTTATGACTTGTGAGTTAATAATCAGTAGGATGTGCACCATCAATGCATTCTGCTGCTGACAGTTAAATATGTTTGACAGGTTACAATGGACCCTAGCGGCAGCTATCTTGTATGCTCATTTTCAAACAAGTCTATCTGCGTGTACGACTTTGTGAGCGGAGAGATGATTGCCCAAGCCGTAGGACATGGAGAAGTTGTGACCGGAGTCATTTTTTTACCGGATTGCAAGCATATAGTTTCTGTGAGTTTCTATCATTTCTTAATTATCATTTTTGAAATCATATAACTTAATTTGAGCTAATTTATGCAAACTATATTTATGTTCGTTCACTAAATTCATCTCAATTTTTTTTACTCTTCCCTATAACATAAATTTATGATGCACTCAGGTAGGAGGTGATGGTTGTATTTTTGTGTGGAAACTTCCTGCTCGCTTGGCTTTCAGGATGTTACAGAAAGTGAAGGAAACTTCTGTTTCATTGTCTCCAAGAACCCCAGCCCTGCCTGTAGGTTTTAGTCAAGCCATAATTTGTGGAGAGGGAGACCTACCATGCAGAATTGATTTCAAAGATGTATTGCCAGCTGAGAGCTCAAGTCAACTTAAACAAAGAGCGAATTATCATGGATTGGATACCCAAGAAACCTATGCATTTAAATTAAGCATTTCAAGACTTCCAAAATGGGCGCAAGACAAAGTAACAAGCTCTGATTTTGTCCAGAGAAATCTTGAGTTCACTTCACCCCAGGTACCCTTGATGGTAGACTCTGACATGTTGATCGGCATTCATACTCTTAAGGTGAAAAAGCAAAGAAAAGAAAAAATAAATAAATAAAGTGGTTCCTTCACCCCTCATTTACAGGATTAGTAACATTCTCCCCACATTTGTTTCTGATGTGACCACATGCTAACTGAAACCAATAAGATTTTTGGAGTAATGGAAGCTTTCATCCGTTCCTTCCATTTGGTGCGTCAGGATTTAGGGATGATTTGGATAATGGATACCCGTAAGGTTTGAGTGTTCGAGAAATTTTCAATCAACACTCTTAACATAAAAATGACCACGATAGTCCTTTGTGTTTCTGTAACCATGCGGGCTTGTACACCAGCTATTTTATTAAATTTAGTTCTTTTCAGCCAGATTACTTTCATTTTTAACTGAACTTGTTCTTAGATATAAACTGATCATTTTATCCCTTTAATTAGTTGGGAATAATGACTTTCTTATATATGATCCAAAATAGTTATTTTGCCTCTGCTGAACTGATTTGTATTTGATTGATCTTGATTTATTGTCCTTGTTGATGCCTCCCAAGCAAAAGGAAGTAGAACCAAAAATTTTATCACCTTTGATTAGCAATGGTGGGGCTTATGCTTCATTGTGCCATGAACATCAAACTCCATTTGGTCGTGGGTCAGGAGGTCGCAGCTCGTGCCACAGTAGCCTATGCAGAAGTTCTTCCAATGTTTGTAAAAGCCAAAGTTCTGCATCCCCAGAAGAATTTGCTAGGTGAGGATTAAATATTTTCCATCACATCTAGGCGAGCACTTACTTTTAGTTTCTATCCTCATGCCTAAAGGTCTTTTATTTTCACTTCAGCTCTGCCACAGAAGATCATTGGTTCACTGTCTACAATGTACGTCTGGATCTACTGAATTCCCCAGAGATGCAAAATCCGAAACATTTAAAGATGCCAGTGTCATCACCAAAGCTGGGTACGGCCAACTGCGACCTTGAAATTAAATTTCTTTGAATGCTCTACTGTAAGGGCCGCATGGTCGAAGAAAGTGGTTGCAACTTGTGTTGAGGGACTAAATACTCTTGAGGGAAACCGCAATGTCAAGACGGAAACTATTATAAACAAGGGACTAAGTAATTAAGCTACTCTTAGCCTAAGATGGATTGTTGTTGACCTTTCTGGTATACCTTTTGCAGTGCAAGGCCTAGCTGAGATACCTAGTGAGAGTGACCATTCTTTGGGTCATAGGGGCCATTTTGTAGATGACGGTAAGGCTGCCACCTCAGAACATACTTGTCTTAGTAGTTTTGACTTTCTGACCAAGAATTATAGTCTTCTTGGCACGGGGAGTAGAAATGTTAACCACTAGGCAGTTTCTGACGTGATATAGCAATTGCATTCTGATAAAACAGAGCACGACACCATGGATATTAATGCTTTCCATATGAAGTCTGAAGACAGTGATCTGTTCAAGGAGCATTTCGGCAACCTGTCTGCATTACTCAAGGTTAGTTTTACTGCCTGCTATATTAAATTAACTTAAAAGTCTCAAACAGGGTTTCATTCAAAATTTTTGAAGAAAAGGGCAGAAAGGAGGCTAGAATTGGGGGTGGGTCGGGCAATATATCTTCTGCCTTAGACCTATAAGCTGCAGTGTGAAAACTGAAGTAGATTTTTAGCATTTCAATTCTTCTTGGATAGTTCGCCTTTTTTACTAAGAACATATATATATTCTACAAGCAAAAAGTACATGACAAACCATAAATCATTTCGTAGACTCCAAATACTTCAACATTTCAAGTTTGCACCTGAATTTATTACTATGGAATCTGTTTACAGGTTAAGAAAAGGCAATCATCTACTAGAAGAAGATACTCTTCACAATATTTTTTACGGCGGGATTATCTTGTGGGCTGCAAAAAACTTCTTGACAAGTCTATGCAAGACGTAGGTGTGTTTAAGCAGGAGAAAGAACCAGCCACCAATGTTAATTTGAAGGAGGATCCTTCGTTCAAGGAACAGCAAGTGCTAGGCTCTATTAATCAGGTTTGTTTATCACTTCTGTGTAGAAACAACATAGTTTTATATCCTTCCCTTGTAGTTAATATTTTGAGCAAAGTGAAGATAGTGAGAGTTATGATCTTTCATCTATCTGGCTTGTTTCACTTTTTCTTTAGTAATCTAAAATACATCTGCGAGTTAAGGTTTCGACTTTTCTCACAGGACCTGAGCTCAATGGAATGCTTGCGTACCCCAAGCTGTGCCCTTTCTCGAGATGAAAAGGATAAAGAAGATTCATCAACCATTGAAGAAGCCATGGCTCAGAAGCAATGCGTTGATGGAGGAAGTGAACCAGGGGAGAAAATCACTGCATGTAGAGAAGCATTACGTAGCCTGGACACTGCTGCAGAGAATGTTTTCCAGTTATTTGCGAAATTAGGAACAGAATATTCCATGGAAGAGTTTTCGAGTGGATCTGGAGCTCAGTTACGTAACGAAGCAATTGAGCTACTTCCGAAGATTACCGAAAAAATCAATGCGGTGGCCGAATGGGTGCAAAACAATAGAAGCAGCACCGGCTCATCCACAAGTAGAGTTGAAGGCTCAGCATTCGAACCTGTGTTAGGAAAACTCGCTGAGAGCCTATCGCAAAGAGTTGTTGAAATACTAAAGAAGAATCTCAGCACTGTTTAACTGTAAGTAATCCATTCCCATGCAATTTTCTTGCTTTAATAATATTTTACATCCCACAGGAATCTGGGTTGAGAGTTGGGTCTTGAGCCCATGTTTTACATGCAGGACTCGGCCCATTTTTATCCTCACAGGCCCTAAAGAGTTTCCAAGAATTGAGGTGGAGAAAAGGAACAACTCTGATATTGTGCAGCACTGAAATCAACAGGCTGGGCTCCATCGCCTAAAAGAAATTTCGCAGAAAGAGAGGGGAGAAAAAATTTTGGATCTTTCTTGCAAGAATGCACACATCCTTTCCAAGTATTATTCATTGGCCCTCTCAACTTTAAGTCTTTAACATTAAAAAGAAAAAGGATGGGATGAGAAAAAAGGAAAGATCCAAGGACTCATCTTTGCTTTTTCCCTACCACTCCCCTTCCACCTTTGAAAAACATTTCTACTGATGATTTTCATGCAGTACTTATAATATAAAAACAACAATAAGAGGGGTAAAAAGCTCTTTATTTTATTGTAAATTTCAAGGCATGTCAGTCAGTAGAGTAGCCCCTTGTAATAACCACACCAAAGTTCTGTTTGGAATATCTGTAAAACCCGTTGGAAGGTTTTGTCTAGAAACTATCCTCTTTGGGTCTTGAGTGCCTGTTGCTGCCTCCATGCGTTTGTCTTTGCTTTACTACCATGCTAAGCTCCCAATCTTTTCTTGGGATTCCTTCACTCTTATATCTATAATTACATTAGTTTTTTTTTTTTTGAAAGCTAATGAGTAGCCATGTTTATTTCCACGTGGAATCTCAATTACTTGGGACTCCCCTTATGATTCACCTAGTTCATATGACCTAAATTGCTATAACTTTAGACTAATCATTTCCATTTCAGGCTCTGCCGAGGCCTGAGGTACTAGAAAAACCATGGAGATTTCAAACTTGGGGTAAATTTCTCTGTCAACTATTTGGATTAGAAGCTTTTGACTAGAATACTAAGAAAATTTGATCAAAAGGGGGGATCAGGAGGATAGCTCTTAGCTAGGTAGCATATCTTTTCCCTTGATGGAGGGGGAAAAACCGGGGCACTTGGGTGCATTCCCTTTTTATTTGTCACACACATGCACCGATCACTTTTTTGCCCTTTATGATTAACATAAAAAACAATTATGATTTCTTACCTATGATTTCAAAATGAAAATATATACCTCATTACCATGAGAAGATGAAATGTGAAATGGGGTTTTGCATATGCATGTTGGGGTCCAAATTGGAGGCTTTTTTTATATTTATTTCTTTAAAGTGGGATCATCTTTTATTCTTTTTCTACACATTGTTTTTCTTTCTTTTTTTTCCTTTTAATTGGGAAAATAAAAAGCCTCTGATTTGTATGTGTGTGGGGCAATGGACTCAATTAGGTTGTCCTTTTGCCTCTCATAATTCTTTGGTAATGATGAGAGCCTTATCTTTTTCTCTTTTACCTACAGTCAGACCTGTATTTGCATATCTGTGTTTTTTCTTTACAGCTTATTCCTCCTAGAAAACCATATCAGAAGGAGAATCACTTTACCTGTGAAAATGGGTTTCTGTAATTATGGACAATAATGATTCTTATATGCTTATAATAAGACAACATAATTTGATATAATGGCTTAGGCGAAATTAGTGGAATCTCTTTGCTGCTGCTGCGCATGTTTATCTTTGCCCTTCACTGTTTGCAAATCAATTTTATCTTCATTAATCTTTCATGATTATTATTTTTTTTAGCAGGAAAAAAAAAGGGGTGAGCTTTACAGCTCCCAAAAAGATTGTCATTTCTCCTGCAATTTTTAGTCATCTGAATATCTGTTCCCCATTTATATCAGAATCATCAGTGGGTAGAAGAAGGGATTATAGATTAATGATGTGAAAAAAGAGAGCTGCACAACATAAACAATAAAATCATGATAAATTTTCATTGAGGTTACATTGCCCTACCATGTTTGTCGTAGGTCATGTTAGCATTGTAAATTTTTCGAGTTTATATTTGATGCATCGTTATTGTCACTTAATTATATAATATCATTTCGTAAATGTGTATAAGTTTTAAAATTATGAATATTTATTATTGATAATATATCAAATATAAATTTATATTTTTTTATCTTATTAACTGAATTCTGTCCTGTTATTTTTCTAAAGGGTTTAGATGCTGAGAGAGACTGAATTTTGTGTTTGTTCTTTTTTCATTGAGAAAATGACAAAAAAATAAATTAAAAGAAACAAAAGAAAGCTCATTCTCACTGCATAAAGCATTCAGAGAGACAAAACTACTAGTCTGACTACCGAATCTTCAGTTTCTTCACTAAAGAACAGAAAACAAACTTAAAAAAATTGCTCCCCCCCAAATCCAAAAGTCTTATACTCCTAATCTTTGTTTGCATGCCTGTACAGTACTGATCAGCTCCTTTCCATGTCATCGGTAAGGAAAGAAAACATAGCACAAGAAAAAAAAAACACTGGTTTAATTTGCTTTTATTTTTATTTTCAGCTGTGAACCCTCCTCCAACAGCTTTGCTCCCGCTCCAAAGACAGTAAGGAGCGTGCAGCTTGATTTTAGTATTGTGTTTGCAGTTTTCTTGACCAACTCCAAGGTTCAGTAGCTCTCACCCTGAAATGGATATGTTGTATTCTTCTTTACTTTCCAATTAGTATGTTCTTTTTGTGTGTATACAAGGCAAAACCAACTTCATTTTTTATGCTTTTCTACATTAGAACTACAGATTAGTAACAATAATTAGTAAACTAATCAATATTCCTTTAGATACATACACAGCTTATAGTTTAGACTGCATAAATATAGGATAAAGCGTTATTTTATCCAAATATAAAGTCATCATGCATATATCCAAGGCATGCTAAAGTTCATGGATATATTACTCTTTCCGTCTCTTTTTTTTTTTTCATTCATCTTTCTTTTTTGAGATATCTCGAATGAAATTTATTTATTTTTCATAGCATCAATATTTAAATTTTTGTTGTAATGGAAAAGCATGAACTAAGGGGCACAGTAGGAGTGCTCATTGACTAAAGAGTAGAGATTTTAGAGGGAATAACATATACCAACAAAAAAAGAGTAGTTGTCAATGATAAAAACATGTTGGGGACAAACAAATATACCAAATAAAATGATTGATTGGAGAGAGACATGTAGTCAAGTAGTGTAATAGTGTGTACATGTAAGCTTTGGGGATGGGGACTAATACGTTGCACCATCACAGTCTTGAAAAGAAAAATTGAAGCAAACAAGAAAACATACATAAATTGACATACCCAAATGGATATAAAAGCTAATTTGAAACAATGGGGTGGAATGTTTCCATAGTGGAACAAAGATATAGCTAGGGGACTTGTTTGATTTGGATCATGGAAAGGGGGGCCACTTCCCACACAGGTAGAATTTTTGTCCCAAATCTTTCTTTCTTTTCCTTTTTCCCTCTTCCCTCTCTCCCCATACACATACACATCCACTTTGGATACAAAGAGAAAATTATATAATAAAATTTCTAATCACACAAAACAAACAAAACCCAAGAAAGACAAACCCCAGAGACTAGAGAGAGAGAGAGAGAGAGAGAATAAATAAAGTGAGACAAACCCTTAAACTTTGGTCTTTTTCATGCATTAGAGAGAAAAGTAAAGGTAGAGGACAGGGGATCCCTTTACGCCTCATTTCATGCAGCCAAAAAAAAGAAAAAGGAATACACTCGCTTATACATTGGCCAGCACAGTCTCGCATTCTCGTGTGTTAATTGTTCGTGGCACATGCATGTGACTGTGGTGGCCTGGTGAATGCGGGGAGAGGGGGCTAGCTTGGGGGTGGATTTGGTTATGGGACCCCCGTGAAAGGTAACCGAAAGGAGGCGGTGGTGGTGGACCCCGAAGAGGGACAGGTGGCGTATAGGGCTAGCTGTGTTTGTAAGCCGGCCGGGTGGGGGTGGGCGGGGGCTGATTTCTCTCGTGACACAGCGGCGGTGTCGTCATCGATCTGATCTCTCTCAATCCCCTCGTTTGCTCCGCATGCATGCCCATCAATCGAATCTTCTTCCTCTTTTTCTTCTGCTTTAATGTTTCATTTTTTTCTTGGAATATTTCTAAAGATTCCATGCTACGTACCAAATTTCTCATGCATGCATACGTTGTTTAAAAAATAAAAAAACGATTGGTTTGATTAATCCGATTAAAAAAATTTTTATAATCAAAATTATTGAATATTATTTAAAAATCAATCAAATTTATTGAAAATTAAGTATTCATTGATTAATCGATTAATCGAATTAGATCAATTAATTCGATTGATAGTTGAATTAATCAGAATTGTTGGATAAATAGATCTTAATCTACTCAAATTTCACTTTTAATAATAATTATAAAATAAAAAATTAAATTATAAAATATTAATAACACCCTAAACATAATAATATTAAAATGTTTTAATAAACATAGGTAAAGATATTTAAATATTTGTTAAATATAAATAAAAGTATACTAAATTGGGGAGAGGATGAGGAGGGAGATTCCTCTTCTTCTTAGGCACACGTGGGAATACAATTCAACTACGGCTTTCGATCGGATCGGATGGTGATATGATATCATCAAATCAAATAGACTAGACCGACCTTCCCTCCTCAAGTGGGCCCCATCGCCGCTGTCCCCCTTCGGCCTTCGGAGGTTCAAACGTGCACCCACGCGCTCCCGAATCAATGTAATCTAGATTTGACAATTGCTGACATATCCTACTGTATATATCAGTGTATGATACCATACGATGCACGTAAGCCTACGTTATCCGTACGTGTGTACACGTGTACCGTTCTCTCGTATTATTCTTCTTTGACGAATTATTTCCAGCTTTTTTTACTCACATTCTTTTTACTTAAAAAGAGATAAAATTAATATATTTATGTTAAAATAATACGCAAAAATAATTTTGTTTAACATTACTTAATAAATTTGAAAATTTGTCATAAGAGTATTTTTGAAAAGAGTCGTATTAACAAGATATTGAAAAACCATAATTATAAAAAAATTCATCAAATAATTAGATACATATAAATAATCATGATTTCATCATTTTTCTTTAAAAGATCTTTAATTGTTAAAGTTAAATATAAATTAATATTTTTTTGTCTATTTTTATTTAAATCACATATTTAGCGGTTTTGTTTTCTATAATTAAGATCACTTATGACATCTCTTTATTATTATTTAAACTTTTAATTGTTTTTTTTGTTGGATAAGCAGCAATAAAATAAAGTGTAATAATTATTAGTGTCTGTAATTTTTACTATTACATGTTATTCAAAATATCGTTAAAAATTTATATGGTGCAGTCAAATAAAATAATACAATTAAAAGGTATAAAGAGTACAATTAAAAAATAGATCTTTAACAATATTATTAAAAAAATAAAACCGAAAATCAAATTTATTGTAATGTATAAAAATATTTATCGTATACACACGAAAAAAATTTAAAACTTTATAAATGAATTTACAAATTTAACATAAAACCCAAAGAGGGGTTAAGCTGGTTTGGAAGTTAGAATTTATTCAAGAGTATTGTCTTTCTTTTGCTTCTTTCTTTTACAAAGAATCAATTTGCCACCATTAAAAAAGCATATGGTTTCACCTTTCTTTAATCTTTCTTTCCTAACCTTTTTTTACTTTTTTTTTCCCCTTAGTATGTTAAAATGTTTCATCAACCAAATGGGTATGAAAATAATAGGCAATAAGGAAAAGAAAATAATTAAAATTTTTAAAAAATTATTATATTTGATACGGTGTCTATATATAATACTTATATATCATTACTTAATTATAAAACGTTATCCATAAATAATCAAAAAGATATATTGAAATTTATATGCGAATCCTTTTAATTTAGAGAATTGTACATTTAGAATAGTGATAAGTTATCGTCTAGTAAAAGGAAAACAAGTTTTGATGAAGGAATGGAAAGCAAGTTCCCCTTTTGAAGAAATGGGTGAGTCGACCAGGGGGACCTAAGGGCTTTGGCGATGCCATTTGATTGATTCCATATCTGTGTATTTAGAATCTTTGTACGCACCCTCATCATTCATCTACCCTTTACTAATTATAAAAAGGCAATGCCAAAAGCAAGAGCCAAATTTAAGTTCCATTTTGTCCTTCCAAAACAGAAGAATAAATTCGACAAAACATCCGAACATCAAAAAAACCCTAAAAACCGATAATTTTTTTTTTTCAAAAACGACATCATTTAGGTTCATATAACATTAGTTCTTTGAATGAAAGATACATATATTTATCGTTCCAACGTAATAAAAGAAAAAAAATCTGAAAAATCAACGTCATTCTGAACTCATGTAGCACTAGTTTAGATATAGAGAAGCAAAAGCTGAACGACCCCGTTTTGTTATTGACAAAGCTGGTCTGGGATCAGAGTGACCTTTGATGGGTACATGTTGATGA